GCCAGAAGGCTCGAAGGCGAGAGGTCAGCTTCGAGAGCGAAGGCGTGCTTCTCCACTGAGCGCCCCTGACTAGGCCTTTAGCGCAACAGTGTTCCGCCAACGCAAGTGCAAGGAGGACCTGGCGGCGCCTCACTACCCATTGACGACTTGTCTCTCACACTCCAAGTGGTGGTCCCTTAGCCAATCCTTTGCGCCTGTTGACCGTTTCCTGCTTCTGTCTCAACAAGGCGTGTCTCTCGCCGTCGCTTGTGCTTTCGCTTGCCCATCCGCTTGTCATTCGTTCGGTCGCTCTTGTTCTCGCCATTTGTTTCTGCTCATCCCGCAATCTCGATCATGCTTTGGGCAGCGGTGTTTAGTCGTCTTGGCTCCGTCTCTACCCCATCCCTCGTTCTCGGCGAGTCTTTGGAAACATGCACCCATCCATCGCAATCTCTGAAAGGACAAACCCCCTTGTCCACTTAATACGGGGAAAGGCGGCCATTGTGCTCTGTCATCAAGTATGGTACGGAGTATAATACTTGGTAATTAGGAGTTCTCCGTACTAGTACCCCAGGGTATTAGTCGTAGTAGAACTCCCTGGAAATTGAGCAACACTCGCAACTCGATTAAGGGACAAAAGGTATTTTCCTTTTTCCTGTTTTTCCAGCCCTCCCTTGTCCCACAATTTCCACCCCACGGACAGCCCCTCTGCGCCAGTGCGACCAAATGTTGTGCAAAGCCTGTACAGTATTAGGTCGTGGCTAGACGGGGGCAGGATGCTCACAGCTATTTGGAGTAATACGGCATTCGTACACATGCCGTTGGCGTCGTTGCTAATGATAGCAACCACATATAATATCCGTGTCGGCAGGTGCCGATATCAGACTCAACGTAACATGCAGTAACGCATGTATTGTAAAGCGCTCTCCAGCGTCAAGAGGACACCGGAAATGATCAGCAAGGCGGCAAGCCTGAATCTCTCCGTCCAGGCTCATTGGCGAGATTCGTGGTCCGTCGTATCGGTGATCCGAAATTAGAAATCAGACCATGCCCTGTTTCTGCACAGCTCGGCGGTTCAGCAGCCTTAGTAATCCACTGCGCCTACGAAGATGGTCAGGCTTATGCTCTGCATACTGTAGAAGATCGATAACGAGGACCTAAGCGCCCGTTATCTGAGCTACCCGGTGAGACACTATCGCCATGTGTCTTGCTAAAGGCGCCAATCGATCTCGTAGGGCAGAAAGAGGTTGGTAGAGTGAATGGTCAACTACGTCTCGACCACGGCTAACATAGGGTGTGAATTGATGGTCATGTCACGGTGTGCGGTTTCGCTCTGCTCAGGCCAGTTGCGATTTGATGTATTTCCCGTGATGAGTTGCTTGGTCGACAAGAATACCCGGGAGCTTGCAGAAGGAAAAGTTGTACTACCATCCTCTGCTTCCTTGCAGATCCATCTGGATGGCATCACATCCGGTGTGCGTAGAGCTAATTCCCGTTGAGTTGGAAATGTAGCCTACTACAAAGTGTTTTCCAATGTTCTCGTAACTGTGCTGTCACTGGTGCTGCTATTCTTGTTTCCGATCGTCACTCCCTCCCTCAGTCTCATTCGGGTACGTCACCGGGTTGGCGGGTCGCCGTGACGTTGCAAGCGCTCTATTCACTACTCGTACCAGTGACCATCAGCAGTAGTTCGTAGCATTCCCACTAATATCACCGTGGTTGCGGCACCGGAAGTGCAAAGCAGGCTGCCAAGGCGCAAATGATTGCTTCCAAACATTGTCTCGCGCGAAATGGTTGGCTGTGGTGCGTCCGTGAGGTGTGGCTGTTTGTGCCGCTGCTTGGGTCAAGCTGTGGTAAGTCGGGCCACCCTAGCCACTCAAATTAGCAGGGGTGTTGATTGCTGGGCTGTGCTGGTCTGTTTGGCATTAACAGGGGTGGTGGAGTGAGTCAAGAGAGGGATCATGCCGGCTGAAAAATGGATGAAGGATGATGATGGGAGAATGAGCGCGCGGAATTATTCGAGCGTAGAGATTCGGAAGAGCAGGAACTTGGAGGTATCTCCGTGGCCAATCGATCCTTCCCGGATTGCCGTTTGCACTCAGGAAGCTGCGATGCAGCTAAAGCGGTTGGGCTGGAGTCGATGTTAGCCGCTGTATGAATCTGAACGGAAGGAACGACAAACGCACACCCGAAGTCAATCTACCTCGGCGGCACACGCGGAATGACGGCTGTATGATGTACCAGGTACAAACTGCTCCTCTCGTCTCCTCTCGTCTCCTCTTCCCCGTAATATGTTCTGTTTGATCTCGCCTTTCCCTTCTATTTCTTTTCTTTTCTTTTTCTTGGCGAGATCGTTACGATCCAACCAATTTCACCGCTACAAGGTTCAATTTTCCTACGCCCTGCCGATCTCCAGAGTCGTTCCCACAGGTCGCGCAATCCACAGGCGGAAACGCAGCGACTGGCCTCGGTACGGCTATGGAGTCTTCGATGTGCATTTGCGTCTCAGTGGACCTTGACAGCGTCATAGAAGAGACGTCGGCAGTGCTTCAACAATTGAGCCATTTTGTCGCCCCGGAGAGGCAAAACACCGACGAGTGGCTCGTACAGCCTAATCAAGTTGATGCAGCGATCGGCCTGTCAAAAGCAGCGACTGGATTTGCCAAGATTCATTGTCGGTGGTGATTCTTGTGTTGTCATTGTGGGCACTCGATTAGTTCTTTGACAGGTGACAACGCATCATCCCTCTAATTTTGTTGCTTCTTTTTCTTTTTCTTTGTTCCTCTTCTCTCGTGTTGCGTGAATACGAGGTTGCTCAACTCCATCTCGCACCAACTTGCACTGCAGCCACCAACCGCTTCATGCAGGCTTCCCATCCAGTCATATCGCTGCAACCGACTCCGGGCAGCTGAGCTAGAGATGGCTGCATGAATACACAAGCTGTGCGCTCACAAGCATCTCCAAATCCAGCACTGAGGGGCCAGGGCCGCTATCCACGCACAAGACCCCGCCATTCCGTATCCCGTATTCATCGACAGGCTTGGCTGCGTGCTCGTGCTCCGTACAGTACTGGCACACACAAGCGGATCGCCGCATGGTAGCTGGAGCCTCGAGGTGTAATAATAGCATCATGGCTTCGTATATGCTGCCGACATTACAGCTCACATGCGAGAGGCTGTCAAATAGGAGCCGCCATCTTAAGCTTATACTGCCCCATGTTCGCTGTTTTGCATCGAGGCGAAGACTTATTGCATGATCGGCCCATCCAATTGCAGTCTTGCCAGCCTCTAGCATTTCATATACCGCTACCTCATTCCAGCAAGAGGCATGTGTAGATGACATTTCTTAACCCACGTGCGGGGCGACGACTCAGTCCAGATACACCACCTCTTGTCATGTTCAATGCTGTGAAGCTCCTCTTCGTCGGGTCCATCCTGGTCCACCTCTGGTGGCCCGATCGTTGGGCCAAGTCCGTGCATTGAAGGGTGGCGAATGGGGCCATGGAGTGACCGTCAAGACCGTCTCTGTAACATGAAATTCCAAGGTCGATGCTATTAGTATGGTTAGCTGAGCTGAGCAGCTGTCCCGATTAACTCGGCTGTGCACCTGATAACCCGCATTCAAGCTATGTACTCGTACAGAAGCTCAAAGAATTTCATCTTTACACTGACAAGGGGGTTCATTTTCGCCTCCCCGTCTCCATTATCTTGTTGGATCGCTGGCTTGGCAGTGGGCTCTATTACGGATAGACTCTGATCGATCTGTTGTTGGGCCCTCTGCCGGTGAGTGCCCTCACATGTTTGCAGCCAACAATATGTCCAGGCTAATTTTATAACCATCACCGGAACGCTCTGGCCAATGGTATCCTGGGGTAGTCGAGATTCTTCCTCGGCCACCGTTCCGCTAGTTGTCTCGTCCCCTCTTGGGCAACTTGCGGTGATGAGCACGGACAATTCTCGATGCCCGAACTGGAGGTGGCTTTCTTTCAGCTCCTCACCACCTGGCTTTTATTGACGGGGATGCCGCTGTGGGTAGGTGTGGTGGGAGCAAACGCATGATTCATCGCAACGTAGAGGTTTGCCGATGCTGAATTTGTCGGAGAAGGCCCAAGTCCGCACTCATGGTAGGTCGTGGCCTCAACAAGTGATAATGTTCCATCCATAAGACAGGAATGATGGCATTACTGAGCCGGGTCTTGGGATGCTTGGTCAATTTTGGCGAGTCCATTAGGCAGTGAGCTTGGACGAGCATTGGGCAACGGCCCCGCTGTGCATATGGTGCCTTGGAATGTAATGGGGAATCCCACACGAGGTTTTCTTGTATCATAGAGAGGTCAGGTTGCTCCTAAAGGAAGCAATACGTCTACCTTGGCCGCCACCGGACTATAGTGTGGTGCTTCACGTACAGTCGTTGGAATACGAGCTGCAGGCAATATCTTTGCACATTATGACCTCCGAGTGGCCGACGACGACACATCAATCCTAGATATCTCACCCCTTATCAAGATTATACGAAATTTGACTCAAATTCGCCGGAGACGGCTGTATCTCTGTTCTAGCTATTGCAAATGAAGATAACACACTTTTCCATATTCTTTAACCGTATGCTAGCATTCTCATCTTACCGATGTCTCAATAAACCACATCAACCATACTGACTCGTGGCTATGCAGCGGATAGATCATTGATGAGCCTTGGCGGCAAGTAGACGTCGATTGTGGTGTTCGGTATCCTTCTGAGCTTTTACGTCGAGTCACTGGTCAATCGAGCATTTGGTGAATTTGCCAAATGTCAGAAGATTAGTCGATCATAGTTACTCCCTTTCGTCATTTCGCTTCCCAATTTTTGGAGGCTGTGCCTTCAGCCTGATCTGTCGTCTAGGGAGTAGAAGCAGCTGCATCAGGGACAACAAGCTCAGACGACTAGGATTTTGTAAACTTCGTCGCCCAATTGGGTCCCTCTCATGCACGTGGATCCTCTTCGTCTCTGAAATGGTCGACGTGCTCTCTGACGGTGCCGCACTCAGTTATCCAATCCGTTTCGCGGGCCATCCAGCATCCGGGACTGATTGGTTTGGTCAGACTCTGGCAAACCAGAGGATTGCACCATAGACTTCCACCAGTCATCAGCCACAGGGTTGGGGGTGAGATTGTTTTTGAGAGACGATGCTGGGGGCTCTTCGTACAACGCTGTATCGAGAGAGTAGCGAATTTCGGCGCGAATGATGTCGTCTTGATTCGCGAATGCATTGACTAGGAACTGTTGGAGATCAGTTGGGGGAGACATGTTTGGAATGTCAACCGTCATGGGGGGATTCTTCAATGTGTGAGGCCAGTCTCGCTGTCTAGGTACCTCGACGTAGAAGAGAGCGACATCCGCAGAAACACCAGGCGGAAGATCCAAGCGATAGCCCGAGTAGGGCTCGTGGTACCTAGTCTTGGGTGCAACGCACAAGGCCGAGCGAACCCAATTGTAAACGCGGATATAATGCGCCATATCATCTTCCTCGCCAATACTCTTGAGGTATTCAGCTGCTTTCCGGGCTTCTTCATGCTGCGCATCATCCTTGGCCGGCATGTGGAGGTACGGCGCCAAGTCCACGGTGGCCTGCTGGAAAAAAAGCTCCGATATTAGATGATTTCTTTCCCGGAAACTGCCTCTAAATTCACGATCAACTTTGTTGCTTGCCTTGTACTCTGCATGAAGAATATCCGACCTGAGCCTACTGGCAAGATGTACGACTTGGAGGTTAGTGAAGAGCGGCTTTGGCAGTGTATAGCCACTTTGAGCGATATCTCTGAGGTACACCTTGACTTTGGTTCCGACGTTGGGCAAGAAGTCTCTGACGTTTTTCATACTGACGGCCATTACATAGGCTGTGGGAGAGTGCGTGCCAAAAATGCCATATTCTTCCTTGTCGTTAGTAGTTGGAGTCCATTTCGAGCCAGGGAATGGGATTAAACGTGCCCGAAAGACTATTTTGTCGCATTGACCTGCCAAGTGTTGCTTCTATGCAACTTGTTCGGCAAGGCTTACGCGACCAGCAAGTATTTTGGAGTAATCCAAATCTTCGATCAGACCATTGCAGAGAGATGGGATGTCGAGAATCCCGGGGTTAATTTTGCGTTCATCAGTGAAGAGGACATGCCAATCTTGTTCCCATTTTGGGATGGCTGGGAGTGTTATGTGCAACGTGATTTGTTCTTCCGGATTCATCGAGTCAAATAGCGACTTGATGTTCTTGGCGATTTTTTGCAATGAAGCTGGTAGACGTTGAATGCGATTCCAAAAGTTCGATGGATACATGATGGTGAGTTCATGGGCTTCTACCACGGCAGTGACTCGTGCAATTGTTGCAGTGGTGTATTTGATGTAGGAAGATATCCCTGCTGTACGGTCGATATTCTCAAAATATTGCAAGTCTTGATCGCGAAATCGTGAGTGAGCCGCACCAAAAGGGTCCGTTTTTGGATCGGGAAACATATCTTTCATCAAGGACTCATCAGCTGCATTGAAGTAATCGACGTTCAAGGGCAGCTTGGTTTGACCCATTGGCAGGGTGATGACTGCGAAATCGCCTACATCGTCCCCATTTCTGATTTGAAGTCGTAGGATGACTGTGGAAGGGATGTGAGATCCCCATGCCGTCTGAACTTCGACTCGAAGACCCGAAGCGACGCTTTTTGCCAGGCGGCCAATGTGATGGCGAGCGAAGCCGGGCAAAAGGGTATCATTGACGTGTAAGAGAACGCTGTTCCAGGCAGATATGGCGGCCAATCTTTTGAAACTGCTTTGAGGCCCCTCAGGCGATTTCTCACCTTCCTCCATGTTGTCTCCTAAAGCGATGATAGGATCAAACTCCGCGGTATCAAGAAGATTGGACGCCATAGGTAGTGGCAATGACAACGAAGAGAAAAGCTGGAGCAAACTACGCCGGCACAAGAACGAGGTGGCGAGGTGGTGTGAAACAGAAAAGCCCACTCCGCGAGATCACGCGTGTGGAGTGAAGAAGAAGTTTTAGCACGGGACTTCCAAAAGAAAAAAGAGAGAGAAAAATATGCACGCTGTCACCCGGCAACGGGCAAGCTGCAGCAGAAGTGAGGGTGCGTAGTGAAAGGGATGCGCCACTATGACAGCTGTCAAGCGGTTGCCAACTGGTGGTCAGGAAAATCTTATGTTGAAGAGATCAAAGGTGGTTAAATGGCAGGATTATGTACTCGCAATTCTCCGTAAATGCAATAACAAGAAGGATTTCGTTGATCTGCAAGATGATTGTCCAATTCTCTGTCGATGATAGGCCGAAGTATCACAGTCACATTGACCACTCCACTTAGCAGTAAGCTCTCAATAACATCGGGTTAGTTTATTTTCTTAGCAATTCATGCCTTTCTGCTATTACATTTTATATTTTTCACCTCATGAACAAATTGTGAAAGACAGCTTAGTTTACGAACTTGTTTGGTTGGCGTGGTAGCGATCTGGGCAGTCTTCGCCGGGAGCATTTGCTTCGTATGTCTCGTACTAAGTCCAGATCTTCATTCTAAGAATCATATGGATTGAAAATTTATAATATCTATTTAGAGAGGTCATATCGGTAATTTTAGTCACGCTATAACAACTTCAACCTACCTGATTAAGTTGGAATTCCAAGATCCAGGATACTGGGAAACTGGAAGCACTTAAGAGAAGATAACGACGGGCAGAATCGCTGTCTGAGAATTAGAGAAAACATGAGTATCGTTCACACGGCAATCCATCTATCTTCTTCATTTTGGTCCCATTACGCTTTGTTTTTCCCCAGTTGATCGCGCACTCCTCGTTCATGTCTCTTCATGTGTCTCTCCGATTACCTAATTCGACTCGCTTACTAAGAACAGGACCCCTGCTTTGGGTCGGCGATTCCGGAAAATTCTTCTGCCGATCATGACGTGCAGGTCTAAAGTTAGCCTCAACCATAGGGTAGTCGAAAAAAAAAGAGGCAAGAACGAGAACGACATTGCTTGAGTAGATGTGTGAAGCTGAAGAGAAATTCGAAAAGGTATATAGCGCCTTGGTATTATTAAATATTTCTCCTAGACATTCTGCATGTGCCGTGTTGACAGCATTGGGTGGATATGCTCTTTATCCAATTGAAAATTTGAAGACATACTTCAAAAAGATAATTCACATGTCGGCCAGAATTGGGGAAATAGGAACGCCACCTTCTCCTCCACGGGGAAATAAGACACGGCTTGGAAAACCATTTCATGCTCACATTCTTGATCATCACTTTACGAGGACAATGCCAATATGAAGCTACCATATGTCTCGTGAGAGTCCCTGAATGAGTCCGAGACACATGACGTCGGACGTAGGATGAGCGATATCTTCTTAACTCCGCCATTGCCCAGATGACTTGGCAAAGAAAAATTGCACCATGATGGCAACTCGAGATGATGGAAGTGTGCAATTCCCCCTGGCAAACAATGTCTTCTCCGTACATTTTGAGTTTTGGTTATCTACTGCCCTCCGGCAAAAACCGGGGTGGCCGGATTCAACATTCATTTGTTCTGCTCCGTGGCGGCACTTCATTACATCAATATCGACCATCTGTATGCTTAATATCCTCCAGCTGCGATTAGCGGGATCAAATGCCCCACGTTGGCAAGGCTGGACAGATGAATGGCTCCGAGCGCTGGCTCCGAGCGCCTCGGGAGACCCAGACACCAGCCACAGGCAAAGGACGTGCGGACCCATGAACAACACTCCGAATGTGAATCGATTCCGACCGGTGGCTGGCTGAGTAAGAATTATCATCGCCGCGGTGTAGAGAAACCCAGTGTCTGCAAACAGTGGCGCAAGATAGTTGATGATGTTGCGTAGATGGCGGACTGTCCTACATACTATAAAAACCATCACCAGCCTATCTTCTTCACATCTCGGCATCTCGGAACGACCGATTTCGAAGCCGCCCTGGAATCTGTGGCTAGGCTCAGCCACCTGAATGTTATCTGACCCGCCTGGTCGCTTGTGCCGCCCAATTGAAATGCCCGATTGTTCCCGAGCAACAATTTTTTTCATGCCCCTAGACTAGCGCCACCCCGGGAAGAAGGGAACAAGAAAAAAGACCTCAAACAAAAAGCCGCCGCTTTTCATCACCGCCCTCCCCAGACAAAACCTCAAACCTCTCCACGTCGAACCTCTCGACCCAACTAGACTTCTTTTTTTTCTCCCCACTCAGTGTTTGTTCGCTGCTTCAATTTCTATCGTCACAATGGCTGCTGCTCAGGTCACTCTCTCCGAGCCCAAGAAGCTCGAGGGATTCTCTCTCTACTCTCGTTTCGCCCTCGCTGGTGCCGTCTGCTGCTCCGTCACCCACGGTGGTCTTACCCCCGTCGATGTGTATGCTGCTACTCCCTTGATTCCTCCTCTTGAGGGCTCAGGATTTCGTTTCCGCCTTCTAGCACGTGAAATCAGAACTGTCATGGCTGACCGAATCTTTTTGATATAGCGTCAAGACCCGAATCCAGCTCGACCCTGCTACCTACAACCGTGGCCTTATCGGTGGCTTCCGTCAGGTTATTCAGAATGAGGGTGCTGGCGCTCTCCTGACTGGTGCTGGTCCTACCTTTGCTGGTTATTTCCTGCAGGGTGCCCTGAAGTTCGGTGGTTATGAGTTCTTCAAGGCCCAGTTCGTCAACGGACTCGGTGCTGAGACTGCCTCCAACAACCGAACTGCCATCTACCTGGCCTCCTCTGCCGCTGCTGAGTTCTTCGCCGACATTGCCCTCTGCCCTCTTGAGGCCACCCGTATCCGTCTCGTCTCTGAGCCCACCTATGCCAACGGTCTCATTGGCGGTTTCTCCAAGATGCTCAAGAACGAGGGTGTTGGTGCCTTCTACGCCGGTTTCGGACCCATTCTCTTCAAGCAGTAAGTACTTGAGCTGAACGAATTGGACTGAGTTGCGCTTACACCGTCTTTAGGATTCCTTACACCATGGCCAAGTTCGTCGTCTTCGAGAAGGTTTCTGAGGCTGTCTTCCGCCAGTTCCCCAAGGAGACCCTCTCCGACGGCATGCAGACCACCGCTAACCTGGGCTCTGGTCTGATTGCCGGTTTCGCCGCTGCCATTGTTTCCCAGCCCGCCGATACCATGCTTTCCAAGATCAACAAGACCAAGGGTCTTCCCGGTGAGGGCACCACCTCCCGTCTGATCAAGATTGGCCGTGAGCTCGGTCTCCGTGGCTCTTACACCGGTATCGGTGCCCGTCTTTTCATGGTCGGCACCCTGACCGCCGGTCAATTCGCCATCTATGGTAAGTGTTCCCTGAAATCGAAATTTTTCGACACAACGAACGGCTCCTAACGCAACCAGGCGACCTCAAAAAGGCTATGGGAGCAACAGGGGGGGTAGAGATTGCCAAATAAACGAGTTCTTCATGTTCTGACGATATAAAAATGGAGTTTGGAGATGGAGGAGAAAATGGATCGAGATTTCGGAGAGGGGGCAGCTATTACGGTACTGCCCAAGGGCTGGGCTTTCCTTGGATTGCTGAGAGTTTCCCGATTACACATAGAAGGGAACAGTCTCATTTTCGACCAGGACCTTTGAGAAATTTGGTTTCTTGTTCGATTGTTTGGCCGGGTTGATGAAGCGGCCCTAGAAACAGGCGCTGGTATACATCTCTTGATTGCCTAGAGTAGAGTATAGAGTCGGCAGACCACTGGCATCCCCGCTATGGGTTGTATAATAGTCAATCTTCTTGCGTTATCAAATAGACTTGGTTTTCTGGCCATACAATGCATTTTTATCCAGATGCACTGCTATTCTGATTGATGTCGTGATGTTGGATTTGCACGGCAGAATTTGGCGGTGAGTTATTATTGTGGGCCTCCATGGCTACATTGGGACGATGTCCGAAATAGGCAACAGGTACATAGGTACTTCGTGCATCGTTCTCCGTTTCCTCGCAATCTATGTGCTTATTGGAAGCTGGACTACCATGTAGGTTGGCCATCTGGATTCTAAATATCAGATGCTGTTCATTGCAATCTATGCTTCTAGCGAAAGAATCATACAGCGATGTGGTGCAAGATGTATACATAATGAACTTCGTGGAGCTATTTTGCCCGCGCCATTGCGTATGAGCCTAACAACCTAATTGATTTGAGGAAAATTAATCAAGAATGTGCAAAAGAGGGTAAAGAATACAAATTACTCTTTACGAAAGACTGGCTATCCGCAATCTCAGTACTACTATTTAACGCGACCTCAGCCGAAGCACGTCCCCTATTAAAAAATAACAAAAACGAGGAGCAGGATAGCAAATGGTATCCAAATCACTTGTATCCATCGAATCCACCTACATTCAAAGTAAAAAGATGAGCGGAAATTACCCACTGCGATATTGGGAAAACAGCTGAGAAAAACTGATATTATAGCATGGAAGCTGTCCGAGCGTCTCCTTGGGTATCATATTGCCGCAATACTCATTATTCGCGCTCTCTCTCAAAGACTGAATGGTTGAAACGGGTATGAGATCCGTAATATTCCTTTGGATTATCGACGATATCCTCCACAGATGTCTCTTTGAAGACAGGCAGGGATGGCAGACCAATAAATCTGTTTTGGAAGGTACATATCTGATGTATCCCTTCTGGCGACAAGACTATGCTTACTAGACCTATGAACCTCAAGACGACGAAGAACCCAAATTATTTTAGTCCTCATGCGGAAAAATATTGCCCCAGCATGTACTAAGAGTTGGCATAGCTCTTTCCTGCTCAATGTATTCCTCAATACCTGGATTCGACCCCCCAAACATACACTTAAAATGCCTCTCATATTATAACTGTGAATATGTGCCGAAATTAACACTTGGGAAGATTTTCTGCCAGAAAGCCATAACTTGTCAGTCGCATAACCCAGAAGATTCGAGAAAAAGGTGGCATTACTGGAATTGCACTGGTCTGAAGTATAAAATCCATTGATATAACATTTCAGTTCCCAGTTATAATCCCAAGAACTATATCATAGTTAGTATTAGCCATCACTCTCAGTGACGACTGGCCATAGGGGAGACGTACCAAACCCCTTCGTAGCAGTCTCCCGACTTGTAGCAAGAAAAATCCCAAGCATCTCCATCACCGATCGTGGTAACTGATTTGGCGCTAAAGTGCGGACTGCTTCTGCAGTGCACAGGGCCATCGTTGTTAAAGACATTACACATCACTCTTTTGTTGAGGTTTGGGGCTGCGCTGGCGAGAAGGGGAAGGGCCAGGCAGAAAATGGTAGTAGTGGTCTTCATATTGATAAATAGGAAATGAGTTGGATATAGTTTTAAGAATTGTAGGATGTTTCCAAACATAGGGAACTTGCACTCTTTATATGCGTTTCCAGGCGACAATTCTGGGCTGAGAGAGACGCATTAATCCACAAATTTAGCAATTACTCCGTCTTCAAACACTGCTAGTCCACCGATATCCCGTAGATGGTCATACCCGCTCGCATTAGGGCAGTTTAGCAGTGAAAAGAATTACTATTACTAACTCCTTTCAAACTACCATAGCGAAGCAGCTGTCTGTTTCGCTGTGAATCTTTGGCATCTGCTAAGAAAGTGGATCATTTGGGAAGCGATTCCGCTTTTACTTCCTATTATAGAAGCTGTTGTCCGTACAAATTCAATGTGCAGAATAAGACGGAGAAACAAAGATTCCGAGGGCCATAAGCCTCCAGTTGTACCTTGTGCCTCTCCAGTCACATGGCCGCTACCTTGCCTGTAATGTAAATTTAGTTATCATGCGTTATCACTGTTATTTTTCGCCGAATAGTGTAAGGCTCGGGCCGAGATCTGTGGTGAGGTTATTATTAGGACAATTGAGGGTCGCGGATCTTGGGTGGCCAGCATGCCCCACTAGCTGGCCTGGGAAATTAGAGATCGAGATCCAGACACTGGTTTTCCCATGACCGAGTTTTTTTTACAGGTTCAAACACGCCTCTCAGGAAGAATGCATGCATTATTTCATAGAGATAAATATCTCAAACTACGAGCAATTTTCACCCTTTGTCCGCTGGCTAGACGACGATGTAATATGGAGGGACTCAAAAGTGACGAGCAACACTGCTACTAAACGCAATGGCGTAGGATTTGGAAACCCTCTTGCGACATCTCTCATTTCTTTAACCTTTCTTTTCCCAACGCCAATGCCTCCAATTACTACAACATTCTTCAGGAAACATTACTCTAACATCGTATTTGAAGAGGGAGTTTTACCGGGCTCTCTGTACGGTATTCGCGATGCTATGAAAGAGTGCACAAACTTTACCTCGCAAAGGAAGACCGCCAAAGCTGTCAGGATCAAAAGGAAGGCATTTAACACACCAAAACTCTGCGTCGGCCTCTGCTGACAACAAGAGGAGCTGAAAAGCACTAACTTCTGTTCAGAAGAAGTATTATAAGCTGGGTTCTCCTTCCGCATATGTTTACAACGCAGAACCAACACGGCATGAATTACACCAGATGCTGCAAAGGAGACACAGATTACACCGGATGCAAAAGAAACACAAATTACATTGTATGCATGCTGCAGTGTGACACCGGTCAAGGCAATACATGTAAGACATACATACACTCCACTTTTCTCTCCCTTATGACACGACACCATAGCGTAATTGAACACACCAAGTAATAGTATGCCAGCATGCGTACCTCGTGCATAAATAATTGCAAGCACAACAGCCACCAACCCAATGGGCAAAGGAAGGATTGGGCATTGATTGCGTTTTTAACGAATTTAGCAGCTTATATAATTTATCAGGCATAAACTATGCTGAAATATAAACATAACGGCAAACCTTGCAAAGTCCTGGACCATATTCCTGTATAAGTTCTCGTCTCGGAATTTCTAACTTCAGGCATAAATAAAGCAATTCTGTCTTTCACTATTGCTATCTATATAGTCGTACATCCGACCGGAACGCAGTTGATCAATATTATATAATCCAATGCTGCTCATTGTGCTGTATCTCAGCTTGCAGGAATGACATGCATGCAGAGGGTAGAAGCAATGCAATATCACTGCACGATTTCACATCCATCTGTGCTCCATACCATAGACCCGTGCATTTAATGGTGGGGGGACACAGCACTAAATAATAAACTTTGGACATTTACACAGCTACTGCAAGCTCCCTGCGTTTGACTAATACTTGGCCGCCCTGAGATACATGTGAGACCACATATAACAGCAATATTACACAGACGTGGTCCAATAGCTTACAGCCACGAATGGAGCTGTGTCAAATATTGCAGGTCCATCTGCACTCAATAGTATAGTCCCATGTATTCAAGTGAGGGGTGAGTACATACATGGACAAAATACTGTAAAACCGTTGGATATCTGACCACCGTGAGCTACCTGCATTCAGTGAATCATTAGCTGATCTACGATATGCCCACGAGAAACAACCTGTAAAACATTATGGCTACGTGGTCCAATCAGCCAAGTCCACAAATCGAGCCGTATAAGACAGGTCAGCTGTATGACTCGAAAATTCTTGAAGCGAAATCACCACCGGCCTTTTCAGCGCATGTCTGCATGACAGAGGTACCTATCATGGTTCAAGCTGCTATACGGATGTTTGTAGCCAATGGACAGCGTGGGATCTAGGTAGCTTGATTGATGATCAACTAAATTCTACCTACCTTTGATGTAAGTGGCGTAGCCACAGATGTTGAAATATGTCTCTGCTAGTGGGAACTCTATTTACCGACTGACACCTAAGGTAACATTTGTGTGGTACGTTGTTGGGTATAAAAGCATCCGCCTTTCTCGGGAAGATAAAACTCAATCATCTGACATCAATATTATACCATTATACCTTATACACACCATATTGTTCAATTTTCAGCAAAAATGCCTCTGAATTCCTCCACCAGTGCTACATCTGACGGGCCGGACCTCAATAACCACGACTTTGAGTTCGCGCAACGCGGATTGGTGCAGCCTTTGAACGATCCAATCATCTTCTCAGACACCACGAAGGAAGTTGTCTGGGATGCGCAGGCATACAACTTCCTTGAAGAGGATTGCCCCCCAACTGCCAATAAATCTCTATGGAGGCAGGGCCAGCTCTGCAGCGTCACGGCTGGCCTTTATTTTGTTGTTGAAGGGATCTATCAAATACGTGGCCTTGACTTGGCCAATATGAGCATTGTTCAGGTCCCGAATACAAATAAAATCATCATCGTCGACTGCTTGACCTCTGTTGAAACGGCGCGCAAAGCAATTGAACTATACCAGGAATATCATGAATCTCGATTTGGCACTAAACCGGAAATTTGCGCTCTTTTCTACACCCATTGCCACGCTGACCATTTTGGCGGCGCACAGGCCGTCATAGATCTTGCAAATAACAAACATCTTCGGATTATTGGTCCAGAAGGCTTCCTCAAACATGCAGTCAGTGAGAATATATACGCGGGGGGAGCAATGACTCGCCGGGCCATTTACATGTATGGGGAGGCATTGGATAAATCACCCACTGGCCAGATTGGCTGTGGCCTCGGACAGGCCGTATCCGTGGGGACAAGTTCGGTAGTGGCACCAAATCAGAGCATTACAGAAGATGGTGTTCTCAAGCCAGGCATTGAAGGCTTGGAGATCATCTGCCAACTTACGCCGGGAACGGAAGCTCCTGCAGAAGTAAACTTTTTCTTCCCATTTTACTCTGCTCTCTGCATGGCTGAGAACGCAACTCATACGCTGCACAATATCCAAACTCTGCGAGGTGCACCAGTTCGTGACGCTCGAATTTGGTCTCGGTATCTTGACGAATCCATATCTCTGTTTGGGGAGAAGACTGAGGTGGTGTTCTCTACTCATCATTGGCCCACTTGGAACGAGAATGGCGAGAATTTGGTCGGCACTTATCTATCGGAACAGCGTGACTTCTATGGCTATCTTCATAATGAAACGCTTCGACTTCTTAACAATGGTAGCACTCCTGCGGAAATAGCAGAGGAGATTCAAACACCTCCAAACATAAGTTTGCAAACACACATCCGTGGCTACTATGGCTCTGTCAGTCACAATGTCAAAGCAATCTACGACAAGTACATGGGTTGGTATGACGGCAACCCGGCAAATTTATGGCCACTTCCTCCTGTTGAAGAGGCAACCCAACTTGTTCAGTGTATGGGAGGAAGTGACGCCGTTCTTAAGCTAGCCCGAGAATATCAGGCCGGTCAAAACTTGCGGTTTGCGGCCACTCTGTTAAATAAGCTCATTTTTTCAAACTCCTCTAATCAAGACGCCGCAAAGGAACTCCTAGCTGAGGTTTATAAGGAGTTAGGACATGGCGCAGAAAATGCGACCTGGCGAAACGTCTATCTTTCTGGAGCCTATGAACTACAAAACGGGCCCCAACCAGCAGCCAACGCAATGGACCCCGGCTCTTTGATGGCTCTTACCTTCGACCAACTGTTTGACACGGTTGCCGTACGTGTAAAGGGGCCAGATGCATATAAGCATAATGGTCCTGTCACAATTGACTTCATGGTGGAGGATATGCCGCACAAATTGGGGACGACTAAGGCTGGGTGGCATTTAAGACTAAGCAATGGTGTCGTGACTGGACACGGCGTCGCATATAACGCTCCCCCCGAGCCACGGGACGAGAAAGTCAGACTTACTGTATGGAGCGATCACAAGACTCTCGTGACGATTGTGGCGACCGCAGCTGCGGGCAAACCCTCCAAGCTCGACCAATATAGCGTTGTTACCGTTGGAGAGACCAAGGACTGGGATGTTATTACGTCTTTCATTCAAGTTCCCAACCCTGCATTCAACATTGTGACGCCTTAACTGTGCAAGTCACTCTTACTTTGAGACCGTAGGGTTCAATCACGAGATTGAAGGCAGAATTAGCTTAGGTGCATGAATAAAGAAATGAATTCCCAGTTCAAAGATTCACATGGTTTACTAGGCACGCATTTGACGTCTTCCAGTACTACATCGGAAATGAAGTGACAGTGAAATGACTCGCTGGCCCCTTGAATGCGATAAATCTGGCGTTTCTAGTCTCTAGTCACATGTCCCCATGCCTTGTGTAATGAGTTGAAGCAGTGAATTGGCTGTTGAATGGACGGTCAATATATCCTGCAGCCACCCATTCGATCACTTTTCTTATTTGACAATGATTCTTCCAACCAAGTTTGTAAATTGAAACGCCTAACGTCAGTAGCCGGATCTGGTGACTGTTTAAGGGAGCTGCCAGTCACTTTACTGGATGCTCCTGCATTCAGCCATTTCCGCGTAATGAGAGCATTTCACCTGAGCTTGAGACTCTCGCGACTCTCTTCAATTCACATAACGCACCTGGCCACTCGCTATATAAAGCCAAAAAATCTTTTCTACTAGGTCATGGAATTCCTCTCTCACACGACCAGACCATGTTTCAGCCTCATACATCCAATTCCAGAATGCCGAACGGGAAGAGATGCTTACCATCACCGGATATAAACGGTAAAAGAGACTGTCAAATATTTGTTCAGTTGAACAGCACTGGCGAACGTATCGCAAAGCCTTGTGCTAATTCGTACGATTAATGATTCCCCAAGTAACAAGCAGAGGTGGTCATCTGTGATGTGGTTGGAAAGGCATGGATTCCTTGGAGAGAATAGATGCCTGGCAGCCGACTCCACGAACACGAAACTCATGGAGGGATTAATTGGAACTCAACATAATGTAAGTACGCCGTTAGCTATTATGACCATCTTTAACCATCTGGAAGACCAGACTGAACCTATCACGCTCGTTCTTCGTTTTTGACGAGACCAAGCGATTTACTGAACCAAATGGCGCAGGACGCACATTTCCCGCCATCTTTAATGGCGATACTAAACAGTTTGGACCGATGGCAATCGCAGAAGAGGATTGTCATTATAGAGCTCTTTTCACAAAACAACGCAAGCGCAGTTTACCGGTACTGCAACTATCTGAAGCCACTATGTAATCGAGCTGACTTTGTTTTGTCAGCAAACTATCGCGCACGTGGTGACGTTCATAAATGGGCACAGTTGTTTTACGTTTCTGACATCAAAACGATGGATATAAAGCATGGATACTGTCGCATAGAATGTGAGTTGAGCGTCCGACAGATCGCAGCTCTTGTCACAAAAATCCCCTGCGACTGGCGACTCGAACGAAGGTAGGCTAATAGCTGTCTTATAGACGACTAACGCTATTACGTGCAACAGCGTCAACAAACAGGCGATAGAAAAAGGTGCCATGCGAGCTCCCTTTTAGTTCCATCACATCATTCGGGACACATGCCTGCTCCAAGCAACCGTGGTTCCAAGAATTGACAAGGAAGCATCCATGAATGCTGAGAGAGAACATTGGGTGGCAGTGTGTCTACGAACGATTCAACAATCATGGAAGCTAACGATGAGAACTGCTCCACGCAAACCAAGTCAGACGCCTTCAAAGTGTTATCAGGTGGAGACCGGAACGACGAGTAAGACGAGAAACGCCAACGGCAGTGGGATGTAGGAGAGAAATGGAATACGAATGAGCGCCAACAGACCGCCTGGAAAGAGCAACCGTAGAGGGAGTATACGGCGGATGGTCCACATACATAGTGGGACCCGGATTGACCAGACCCGTCCGTCTTGGTGATGCGTGCCTCAACTCCAATCACTGGAGCCGCTGAGATTTAGGAGACACGTGGGCTACAGATGTGGAGAGGTTTCACCAGTCCTTCAGTAAACGAAAAAGGAGGAACTGCGCTCTTGCTCTTGGGTCAATGCCCATGCACAACCATCGTTCCGATGGTGACAAAGTCATTCTGAAGGCCCGACTTGCCTTTACCATGTTTTGGGATATCCCATACTCCCCGAAGCGGCCGATCGACATCTCTATATCTGGCAACAAATGTGCAGTTATGAGGGTACTGGAGCCGTTGATGAACCTACAGCAGCTGTGGTAAATGTGAGTCTGATATTAGATCGGAAGCAAAATCTGATGCCGTTGAGCTCATCGGTTACTGGAAGAAGCTACCCAAAAGCCCCCGGTGAGTTGTATGGCGCTCCCGCAAAGGATCGCGATATCAGAAAGCTGAGTACGGAATAGACGAAGTACAGAGCATACGAGAGAAAAAAGGAAAAAGGATGGGGGAAGGGGGGAATAAGCTCACAATTAACAAATTGCAAATCTCAGATCTCAGAAATGAAGCAAGATGACGATAGCTGGATTCTTGAATGGGTTGAAAGCGAGGAATCTCGTCACCACAATCACTCAAATCTCGAGCAAGCAGCATATTCAGCCTTTCATCATGGAGTGGTTGAAGCTCATGGTGATGATGTACTCGAGGTGTATGAGGCCGGCATTTCAACGGTGAATAACCTCCTCAAAGCTCCGTTAGCGATGGCCTGGTAACCAAACGTATCACGATTCAAGACATCGCGAACTTCCTCAATAAGCATTGTCGGGTAGGACGAACTAGCTGGTGGCACGCCGCTCTAGTGGCTGTGTGACCGACTTCAGCACGAATCTGAGTTCTTTTTTCGCGATGATTGCAATGAAAGCGGGAGACTTATCCGTCTCTTAATACTTCCTCATAGCAGTCGTCGACTTCTCTAAGAATTTTACGAGATCATGCTATTTGACAGCACATACAAGAACAGGTTCAACATGCCGTTCTTCAATATTTGCAGTTCAACTTCACTGAAGAAGATTGTCCAAGTTACCATAATCTTAATGCCGCTGGATAAGTATATGAAACGGGAATAGCTTCCTGAGATGGGTTACAGCAGAAACCACCTGCCTTTTAGAACGACCTCTCACAACTCCACTTTCACAGGATAAAGTAGTTGCCAACATTCCACGATGCCAGAGCGTAACTGCGGCAAAGAAGGGACTGCAGATATTGACAAACAAAGACGCTCTGGATGGGATTACTTGGAGGCAATGGCAAGTTGCCCACACCAGATTGAATAGGAAGCACCAAGAAGTCTCAGCAAGCAATATTTATGCATAATTTCAGAATTTTTACGCGAATCAAGCCTGGTAATTACAGATGCACCCATTAAACAGCTGAGTTACATCGACGCAAGAAAGATTGCGCTCGAGAACCACGACAGAGCTAGTAGAATCAGCAGGCTGGGAGGTCCCTTGTGGACGGCCGAGTTTGATCCTTGTCGCAACGCATTGCCTTTAATGCCGCCGAGATTGCATAGGACAAGTTAACGGCGGTGTCTACTATAATCAGAACGGCGCATGACACCTGGCTCTAGCACTATGTCCCAACAATGGCAGCCTTCCATGCACTCCGTCGAAAGGGCTAAACTACAATTACACTGACGCCAGAAATATTGCACTGGATCCTAGTGTCCAAAATTGTGAGGATAAAATCGTGAATTATCTGCAGATCACTACATAATTGGCCAACCCGGAAGGCCTTTGCAGGTCGCGTATCGCTCAGTCGAATAGTGAACTATATTTGGGCTATTAAATTCATGCTAACTATATGGTAGCATAACAAATGTGATCTTTAATACCTACTACTACTGCTATCTTCTTCTAGTATCTACTTCTATCGGTATCTCCTCTGATATCTAATTCGAGCAAGTACAGGCAGTCGGTGATATGCGCCTTGTTAGGTGCTACCTGTACCTAATTTAGTCCATAGGATCTTGGACAGCCAAATTGGTGTCCTGGATGCAACTTCATTGTAATAAACCATAATCTGATTACATCTTTTCCAAAGCAACCAGTTATTGAGTAATCCCTAATTGCATAAACACCATAAGAACCGCAGCGTATCTAATCTATTAGCTGTTTACTTTGATCAGCGCCAAATAGTTCAACTTACCCTGCTGTTGCTCCCAAGGCTTCGAAGGGTTTCGCCACCATACCAAAGGATAAGACAAGCAGGAACACGATGATAAAGACAGTTATAACAATGAGCTTCACTTGAAGGCTTTCTGTTGATTGAAGGATCCATATGGGCGTCACAAGCATAGCAAGACCAATTATTGTGGTGGTGAGAGAAACAAAGAGATCCAAGCGTCTTTCGGAAAAGTAAATAACATCTCCTACGGCATCTTCCGACCCCTGCCCTCGCTTCATCTTCCAGAGATCCATTGTGCGAAATAGACGTGAGCTGTCGATAACGCGGCGTAGCGGAGGCTTTTCCTTTTGAACCACGCAGATGAGATCGTCTTCAGTTCGTGTCTTCCGGGTGGCTTCTGTCTCCTTGCCATTACCATTGAGAGGTCCACGAATCCCGCCATGGTACAGGTATTGCAGTTCATCCTCCCAGATAGCAACATTTGCGTGATTCAAATGCCGACGGAGAATATTTTTGATGTCCTGCTTAGGGGCTGGTTTATATTTTCGTATAGCGGATTGCTGCAACAGAAGTTCATCTGTAAATACTGGTGAATATAAAAGCAACACTGTCAAACAATCAAGCTCTTTTCCTTAGGCTGGATAAACGCACTATATTTTCGCAATTTTTCCTCAATACTAGACAAGAGCCTTTCTCGCTTCTCATCTCCTTCGAACCGTCCGTTGTGAACGCCTTCGCTTTCATACTTATCATCTAATTCATTTAGCTGTCGCTCAAGCGTTACCAGCTGGTTTTGAAGGGACAAAGCTACTCGAACATTCAGCACTGAGAAACGGCGAAGGAGAAACAAGTCATCGTCAGAGGAAATGAATTTCGAATATCCACGATAGCCGACGTATCTCCACGGCTCTAACAAACGACTGGGTTGAGCGCCGCCCCCCACTGGTGCTGTAGTTCCACTCATGTTACTGATTCCCGAAGTTGAGGAATGCGGAGATGACTGCTCTTCCATATTTCAGCCCTGACGTTTTCCAATTGCTATAGGTGGTGTTCGTTACGGATGTGACGAGCAGCGAGTTGAAGCGAGTGGAGCGTATGATATATTTATTAGTATTTGTAATTTTTTCTTTTTGGTTTAAATTTTTGACTACTGAAACCGTATGTAATTTAGACGGCTTATCAGTAATTCATTCCTTGAATATTACACGGAATCCTTACCGGAGTTGCATCCTTGCAGAGCCTCGTGACGTGCACAAATGGTTGCATATGCAGCCGACACTTCAGCAAATGGCAGCCTATCATTGTGATCACGCTCTATCTTGTTGTAGCACATTGTGTCTGATTAATCTATTCTTCAATATCTAGTGCAACCCTCTGTCCAAGGTGATTGGCTTATCTTCATGCGGCTGGGAATGATGTTCCTTGGCGAGGCTCTGGCTTTTGGCAAGGGTTCAGCTGAACCCCGAGTTACATATGAGGCAGAGATAGCATTACCGGTAGAATACGACGGGTGAAGGGCTTAAATAACAACCCTTTTCCTAGAATCGATGTGATTTGTTAGGCAAATAATCTCTAAATCTTAGCATCCCCTATCGGTTAATAAATCCCACTTATAGTTATACCCTTCAAATGGCCAATCTTGACGAGCCTCCTACCGAATCCCGGTGGCAGGTAGTGATCGAACCTTGCGCAGCATATGTTCCACTAAATCCGGCAAGGTCCCAACAGATTGCTGAGAGTGGGCTACTGCCACCAGGGATCGGCACACAGGCTGATGCCGTTTATAAAGGCACAGTTTCACCAACTGTTATTCAAGCGAAGGTAGATTCCGGAGAAAGTGGTGGAAAGGGTTTTACGACATGGATTTTAAGCTTTCTTCAACTACCATGCCTGGCCCCCCGGAAACAAAAACCAAACAATGAAGGAGTCGGTGGAACATCAAATGGAAAAGAAAAATGATATAAAAGAGAAATTAAGCCACAAGAAGCCACAAAAATACAACAACAACATCAACAACAGAGGAAAAAAAAGGAGAGGAACTTATGCATAAATGGAGGAGAAAAGAACTTAACGAAGAGAAGAGGAATAGGGGGAAGATAAGTGATTCTAGGGAAGATGTTTTTCATGATTTGATGTAAAGTTTGGCATGCATCGCCAATCAAGATGTTTGAAGAAAACGGGAGATGCTGAGAAACACAGAGGTGTAAAGAGAATTGTCTTCATAACACCGTTTTGTTACTTTATCACGAAGTAAATGTAAAGCTGCGAACAGAGCGCTTTCTCAAATGAATCCTATAAGTATTATCACTTTATTACTCAGGAGTATTTTACCTGAGGCAGCAAAGGTCTGGAAGACAAGACTTTATTAAATGCACAAACATTGGAGTTGCTAGCTACAATACTAAGATGGACATACAACATCTCAATGACTACATGTACAGTATGAAGCGTGCTATATAAAGACGCAGAACAAACATCTGCAATATCCCTGGTTCTCAAATACCTGGTATTACCATTTGGTTTCTTCTAAGATTTGCTATTAGTGCTACCTAAAACCTTTCGTAGCAAATAGATTCCGATAGGCACTTCTTCCCCATTTGACAAACAACATGATTCGAGTTACGGATGCTAGATAGCTAAATTGTAGTGTCAGAGAATCATGAAATAATATTGACACTAGAATCAGTGGCCACTTAGCACCCAAAGTTGGCTATCTAGCATTCCGTGTCTCCAAGTTTAAATATACCTACCTACCTACCCAGTCGGTCGTGATGATAGCAGATACTAGAAGTATATAGCAAATTAGCAGACACCGGAAGAAAGTAGCGATACTAGAAGAAAATAGCGATACTAGAAGAAAGTAGCGATACTAGAAGAAAGTAGCGATACTAGACGAAAGTAGAGATACTAGACGAAAGTAGAGATACTAGACGAAAGTAGAGATACTAGAAGAAAGTAGAGATACTAGAAGAAAGTAGAGATACTAGAAGAAATTAGCGATACTAGTAGATACTGCGTGCTTGTATAATAAATACAACATTAAAAAAGGCCTCTCCTCTGCATCTTGTCACAACACCTGACGTAGTCACTGGACTGTTGGACAACCAACTTGGGGCGCTGAGTAATAGCGCATCCCTTAGTAGATAAAATATCACAGAAAGTTACATTCCCAAAAACAAAGATGCAATTGTCATTTTTTCCTCATTCAGTCATTAAACCATGAATTCATAAGAAACTATTCCCCTAATACCCCCATATCCATCCCTCGCTCATCCCAAACTCCCAAACGCCATTATCCATCACCGTTTTTTACACTCGCAAGACCGCCTTGTTCTTGACGATCCACTGGTAGCTATCGTCACGGAAATCATCAGCCAACAGACTATTCGAGTCCGCAGTCTCGAACCACATGAGCTGGTGGTTGTCAGTCCACTTGGGCCATTTAGAGTACCCCTTCACACCAACATTCGGATCGAGGTTATAGAAGAAGTTAAAAAAGTACGTCCGCGTGCTCCGCATAGCGTTGTTGGGAAGCAGGCCGTAAAACACCTGCAGAATGTCCGAAGCGTGGAAAGTTCCCAAGAACGGAGTGCCGTAGTCGTAAGATGAGAGATAAGACCAGATGGGCACGTTGGGGTTGACCTGAGAGGCCACAGTGAGTTCCATTCGCCGGGTGAGGGTGAAGACAAGATCACCAAGGAGCGCTGCTGTGCGCTTGAACCCCGGGTAGAGATCGTTGAAGATGCTCGTGCGGAAGGGGCTGCCGCTGGAGATGGCAGTGTCATATGTGTTAACCAGCTGTGTCAGTTGAGTCTTTGTGGCGTTGAAAAACATGTACTGGGACAGCCAATTGACAAGACTCGACGTGCTGGTCACATCAGTCTGGAAGATAGAAAACAAGGTGCCCTCGTCTTCTTGATCACCCACAATCATGGGCACGGCATAGTATTTTCCTTGCTCCCAAAGGACCTCAGGGCTATCCTGGAGAACGACGCCATCTGGCCTAGGTAGGTAAGAAAGCCCGAGAGAGCTGTAGGAGAAGATGCTTGGTACCGAGTTGACAGCGTTAAGGAACGTGTTGTAAGGGAGCTTGCGAAGGCACGCCAAAGTGTCAGCCGAGCCGCTGCAACCGGCCTTGCTAACAACATTGTTATACACTGCCTGAGCCTTGGGAGAATCGATGCGCTCGGCAGGCGCAGCGGTTCCAGAGTTCATGATGGCACCACGGAATAGAGGCTTGTTGTTGTATGTGGCATTGCCTCCATAGAGGAGCATCTGGTCGAAGACGGACATGGCGCCGGCAGACTCTCCCCAGATGGTGACTTTGTCTGGATCACCACCAAAGGCTGCAATGTTATCCGCCACCCACTGAAGGCCCATACGCTGGTCCAAGAGTCCCAAGTTCGCGCTGCCGTTCCTGAGAACCTCAGCTCCAGGAAGGAAGCCAAAGCCAGCAACACGGTAGTTGACAGCCACATAGATGAAAGGCTGTCCTTGGGCAACGGCACTAGTGAGAAGGCTAGAGCCATCATAGGTGACGGTGGCACCAAGCTGGAAACCTCCACCGTATATCCAAAAGGCAACTGGCAGCTTGTCGCCAGCCTTAGTCCCCTTGGGTCGCTGAACAGAAATGTTCAAGCAATCTTCCTGGCCGGTGATGGGCTGCAGGAAGGGAAACTGCAGGAAACTTGACAGAAGCTGCATAATAAGGCTCGATGAGCCTGTGGAAATGAACATTTGAGGGCAAGCGGGAGGAAGCAAAGGAGTAGTGAAAGTCCCCAGGTTTTTGGATAGCTTCTGGGGAGGAGCGAGCCTCAAGTTGCCAGTTGGCGGGTCTGCAAAAGGGATTCCGTTGAAGGTGTCAATGCCCGCAAGAGAATTACCGACGATGGTGCCAGAGGCAATCTGTACGGTAACTGGAGATCGAGCCTCGATGTTCTCAATCTTCTCTGGAGTTGGGGCTGCTACAGCCAAGGAAGAGAAGCCCAAGAGGGCTGGAAGAGTTCTTGACAGCTTCATGTTGAAGGCTCAACGAACTGCTGCAGATATGAAAGAGATGTGCGAGGTGATGGGCTTGGAAAACAACAAGACAGCAGACAACTCAAGGGATTTTGAATCGTTTATATAGCCCAGCTGTGTACGAGTACGACTTACTCATTCCACAAACCTCGTTGCGGGGAATTGCGAGGCCAGCCCACAGAGAGTCAGCCATCTTGGCATTCTCAGAATTCTTAGTATCGGCTGCCCTTCTATTCTCTGGATAGTCTGAATGCGAGCGCATAAACATCTCCACCCATCCAGCAACTATGGGAGACAAACACGACTTGGCAAATGGGATTGTACTACTCTCTAACTAGCCGACACCGAATGCATCGGCTCGTGGGTTGAAAGAGGAAAGGTCATAGGCCATCACACTGGGAATAAGCCGTCGCCTCCAAGCCAAGTCGGAGAGAAGGGAGGGCTGCACAGCATTTTTTGTCTTAGAAAACAAAGACGGAGCAACCGAAACGGGCCTTCTAGTCTCATTGCCGCGCACTGATGGTCCCGTGCCGTTCAGGTGGAGTCTTGTCAAAAGCATCCGCAGTGATCTAGTCGCCGCTTCGGCCGTGTTGCTGATTCTGTGAACTATGAATTATGCTTCGCACCCCGCCTTTGACAGGTAAATACTCTTATGAGCTGCCTAGAAGAGCGAAGAATCTTTTAGGTTGAGTCCATTCCCGTGTGGGGGAAGAGAAATGCGGGGTGGAATTGTAACGCTGACAGGGGTGGCCATTGGAGCTTAGGTTGACGGAGCTGAGCTGTGAAGTGTCGAGAACTCCTCAAATAGTTGAGACCACATGAAAGAAAAAGCATCGACAAAGCTCAAAAGACACCAAAGACAAGCATCAATAAGGTTGGGAGCCGAGGTCAATCTGTCTGGGGTGGCACACCTAGTCCTATTGGGGGTGGACAGTCAGCTCAGGCACGAGATGGCAGATGCGGAGTCGAACTACTGACCATGCTATTGGACGTCATACCGGGACTGAAGCTATCGTTTTGTCATGATCGACAGATGCTATTGGCAGCTTTGGGACGTGCAGATGCAGCCGCATGGCGATGCCGCAAGCCACGGGCGCCAAGCTTGGCGGAAAGTCCAGGCCCTGCTGATCTGATCCTTATAGCAGTTGCTGAGTTCTGTCAGTTTTCGGTAACTTATTCTAACTAATTCACATGTTTGCCGGCTTACTGTGTATGGGTAGTGATGCTTAGTAGCTGAGGGGTGAGAAGGATGAGGTGGGAAAGGATGAAGTGGAACAGAAGAACGGAGACGCCAAGATTATCTGGCACGAGGTCACATGTCTGCTTACCTCGAGAGGAAGATATACGAACACGGAAGCCTAGAGATCACAGTAAATGCCCTCAACTCTGATATTATGAAATGTAAGGGAGACAGACGCCACGATATTACGTTGTTGGCTGCACTCATATTGCGTGCAGCGGGTACAATCTCCGAGAGGCTGTCTTGCGGCATCCGTTATGTTGCATCCGATGTCATCCGATGGTGCTTCAGTTCCACAAGAAGTGCCGTGGCACATAGTGGCTAGGTATAATTCATTGTGTAGTATAAGATGAGATGCTTAGAAGTGAAAACTTGCTCAAAGGATGCATCGCTATCTTGCCAAGCTAGAGTCATGGAATATTAAATTGGCCATGTTATTTCGAGCGTCGCTGCATCTGGCCTATACTATCTAAAGCTACCTATTCGTCTGTGATATCAGTGCGTATCTTACAAAACCAAAGAAAAGACAAGAAGAGCAAAAGCGCTGTCATTATACGGCTTGCCATAAATGGACAAGCCCATCTGTTCCTCGGCTTGAATCCGAGAACGAAACAAAGTGTCTCGTGAAACACCACCAATCCATTTCGATAGACCTGACTTGTGCCTGCGCCATCCTGTCTTTGTGTAAACCCCCCTCCGTTCTACCAATTATGTTGAATCATGCATCTTCATTAAACCCCTCCCCCCAACGCCAAAGGCCACGTCCGTGCGTCGCCGAGTACGAGTATGAGTTTCTTTAGCTTTCATACCACAACGCTGACACGATTTCCTTCCCCGCTTAAACACCGCTTCTTGTCTGCTATACCAGATTCATCTTCGTCCGATTCTTCCTCCAGGCTTTCTATTGTTGGAGGAGTTCCTCGCTTCCGCTTGATATTGGCGCCTCTGGCTTCTGATTCTGTAGGTTTCGACTGTGAGGCAGGGCTGTCATCTTCCCATGTCTCCATATACTCTGGGTCAAACGAGCCCACAATGTCATCTCCTAGGGCTTTGCCCAGCCGTTCCCGCAGTCCCAGGATGGGCCAAATGGGGACACGGGTAAGCTCAATCTTCATTCCCGCAATTTTGCCATCCTCATCGCATGGGGCACTGGATGGGTCATAGAATCGGTCGAGGAATTTGGCCGTTACATAACCCGTGTAAACCAGGAATTCGCAAGTCTCAGTATCATGACTCAGAATCCTCATCTTGACATCTTGGAAGTCGGGTCTGCGAGACTCGTTTTTTCGTGGGGGCCAATACGTCTCTCTTGCGAACAATTGCGCCGGCGCATTGTAGAAATGCCGCTGGGCCATGGCTAAGAAGATGCCGACAAAATGTGGATCTTGATCAGCATTTGCCGGGAGAAGACGCTTCCCCCGAAGCTGTTGTAGTCGTTGCACAGGGATATTCGGGTTGTTGTCCGGACCGATAGCTACACGAAATATATTTTGGCGTATGGATGCCAGCTGATTCTTCCCTATGTAGCACAGCATCGGCAAATTTGCCGTAGAGTGAGGTGTCGATAACGAGGAGCCATAAGATTCAGCAGGGCGGGTTGCTATTGTTGCGACGGAGCTCTGTGATGACAAGGCTGAAGGATTTGGCGGGAAGTTCCACAAGGCCTGTACTCTAACGGCGTCAAAATAGACTTTGTCACCATAATACAGGTTGAGTTCCGGGAACAGCTGCGGTTTCGCAAAGGCTGCTGGCCAAAGTGTCGTCAAGACAGCCTTGACGGCTGTGGATGTCGGCTTAGGCAGCGCTGAAGATGGTAGGAGGATCTCTGTCAGCGCATCGCTCAGCTTGGTGATGGTGCACGACGGTCGCATATGGCCCTGTGTTGGCGGAGAGCCCGGCAGGGTGCATGGCCGCGGTGTGTCGCAGACCGGCAGCTCACAGAAACGGACTCCGAGCAGGCTAGCGTGGAGATCCGTCCAACCGATGGGTCGCAAGAAGAGTGAGGTCCCAGCATTTTGGCGGAGGATGTCACGCAGCGAGCCCTTCTTCGGGCGGCGAATTCGGCCTGTGCGCTTAGCTGGACGAGGCCGCGGCGACGGTGATGGTGCCGGCTTAGGTCTCTGTGTTGTCGGCGGAGTTGTTTCAGGCGACTCCGTCACTCTCTCGTTGTCCTCTCTGGAGCTGGATGAGGGCGGCATGGAGGGGCTGCTGGATGGAGTCATGTCGTCCACAAGAGCACGCAACTTGGCCACGATGGCGCTTTGAAGAAACATGGAGCTGCGAAGAAGCATTAGTCGGAGATGCACGCGAGTCGTGACTGTTTTTAGTACATAGACATGATGGACGGGTGAGGTCGCTGGGTTCTCAGATGAGCATCTCTCAGTGCGTGAATCACAACTTACCGTGCGTTCCTCCAAATAGGTGAGTCCCTCCCCCGCGGTGACGCGACCAAAAAAAAAAAAAAAAAAAACGCTGCACGCCTATTCCCTGCTTAATTCCCCCGCAAACTTTGCTTTTTCTCTCCAAATACCCGGATTTGCTAGTGGACAGCCACCAAACGCAAAGTAGACCGGGATGAGGAGGAATTTGGAGATGAGGAGGACCAAGCCCGTAGTTGCTGTAGTCTCTGCAGTCTCTGCGTGCAGGGAGGATCAAACAAACAGGCACAAGAAAATAAAAAAATCGAGAGCGAGGGAGAGAAGACGTGAAAGGGAGTCTTGCACGATGAATCCGGTCTGAGCAAAACGTGAGACAAGTCCTGAAGGAGATTCTGCAAGACACGCGCCGCGCGGGCAATTAATATGTATTGACTGCGTTAGGCCGCAACAAAGGCCCCCCATTTGCACGGCCAGAGTCAGCCGAGCGCGTCCTGGCAGGGCGTAGGCGGCGCGAGCAGTGAGCGAATTCACGTGATCTAGGCAGCCGGCGGTTGAGTGGCGGTGCTAGCGTGTTTTGCTTTGTTGTTTGCCTGGCTGTGGCACAGGACAGGTGGCAAAGGCGTTGTGCTTACTTCAGCAGTCGCCTTACCTCAGCACACGGGGGCTGCTCTGCTACAGTGCTCCTAGCTTGCTGTCCCCACATTGGCTTGCCCAGGTTGACGACAGCTTCCGGCCTCTTAGGAGCAGCCCCGCCAACCAGCGCAGACCATCTCGTGCTTCACTTGACGCCTCATCTCATCGCAGCGTCGAGCCATTGCTGTTCAAGATGCCGGTACGTCCATTGCCCTGCGAATCCTCGTCGACGCAGCCCCGAGCCCGTCTCCCGGCCTCGTCCCGGAGCTGTCGCCGGCTCTCCTGTTCCCGATGACCTCTGGCCTATCATCGACGGCCCCGAGACGCTCCCGACTCTTGAGCAGCTCGCATTGAAATCCTGCTAATTCGCCATGACCACAGGCCTACAACTCCGACTTCAACTCCGACCCCAACCCTCCTCGCCTCATCGGCAACTTCCCCCTCCTCCCCCTCCGCACAAAGACGCGCGGTCCCGCCTACGTCCTGCCCTTCCCGTCACCGCCGCTGCCCGCCCACGAGTCTCCCGAAATCGAGAGCGAGAGCTATGACATCCTGGACGAGGTCCTCCGCCTGTTCCGCGCAAACACCTTCTTCCGCAACTTCGAGATCAAGGGTCCCGCTGACCGCCTGCTCGTCTATGGAATCTGGTTTGTGAGCGACTGCCTGCAGAAGATTAAGCCCAATGCCAGCGCTCGCGATGCCGGCAAGGAGGTCAACAATTTGGCGCTGGATCTCAACTTTGCTATTCCCGGAGACCCAGGATTCCCCCTGAACCAGGTTTGTCTTCCCAGCGCTCAATCCCATGGAAGATTTCGATAGATACAACGGAGCCGTCGAGATTCCAGGAGCTAACGTGTTATCCCAACTCCCTAGATGTACGAACCCCCTCGAGACAGGCAGGACGCAGAGCAGCTCAAGCTGTACATGGCACAAGTCCGACAGGAGCTTGCATCCCGGTTACTGGCTAGAGTGTACGAGGAGGATGAGTCCAAGCCCAGCAAGTGGTGGTTGAGCTTCACGAAGAGAAAGTTCATGGGCAAGTCGTTGTAAGACAAGAGGAGTTGCTTGGTGGCATTTAGACGGACAATATACTATTTTACTGCAACTTGAGAGAGCATTGATCGCAGCTGGCTCTAAATATTTATCCATCGTCAAGGACCTCATGTGTGTCAGCGCCCAAAGGGTATTCTTATACCATAAGCCTCTTAGTTTCTATTACAACCCGCCATACGTAGCCATCATCCAGTCTTGGGCTTCTTTCTCTGGAACTTGCCCCTAGCCATTATACTACCCTCCGCAGGGATTGCCCTCCACCCCGTAAACACAAAGCCGCTCGCCCCGCCCCTCTCCGTCATGAACGGATGCGTCCGGCCAGGCAAAACCTGCCACCTCCTTGCCCGGCTCGTCTGCACCTGCGCACCGATTAGCAGCGCCGGGTTAATTGGGAAATCCGGCGTCCCAGCCCAGTTCTCCAGCTCCGTTGTCGTCTTACCCTCTGCCTCAGCTGGCGGATTCGATACCCAGGCGCCACGTCGGCTAATGCTGAAGCAGTCCGCTAGCTGAGTCAGGGGTTCGATTGTCGGTGAGTAGATGGCCACGGGTGCGCCACCGGCAAGGAGTGGGAGTGCATGGCGGAGCACTGAGATGGGATCCATGGTGCTGGCCACAGCAAGGCCGGAGAAGCCACCTGCTCTAGTAGCATCGACAATTTGGCGAGTGCGAGCCCATCGCCGACGCTTACGGTGGTAATTTGCACGCCGGTTAGTCTTCCAGGAAGCGAGAACCTCGGAGTCTACTTCTGGTGCTGGCTCTGCATATGTAGGGTCTGCCTCTGGATCCAGCAGCTGTAACCAGGAGATTGGTAGCAAGTTTGTGAATAGCGGATGGTAGGGATATGGAGGGTTGGGGTCGCTGAAGTCGTAGTCAAAGTGGCGGAGGAGAGAGAGGTTGGGCTGTGAGTTGGCATGAATGAGGGTAATGCTGTTTGTAAGGGCGTAGTGGTCGTCCAGGTCATCTTTTCGGGGCCGCTTGGGTCTATTTCGTTGTGCCTTGGCAGTCGCGGGAAGATCTGACGACTCAGCCGCTGCTGTGCCCGCCTCATCGATGCTGGGTTGCAGCTCTGAGTTTTGCTCCTGCTGAGCGGCATCTGTTGATGTGCTCTCTTCTTCTGGAGCTTCTGCGTGCAATAATCCCATTCTCTCAGCCATGGCTGCGACCAACAGGCCTCCTGTATCATCAACGGCCAGCCATCGCCCTCCATGAGGAGTTTGTGCACCCTCAATTGGCAGGCCACCAAAGTGTACATCAGCCCAGCATCCCAGCAAGCCAATCATTTCCTGGCGCATCTCCATGACTTTGCTGGCGTCTCTCTCGACCAGCATCCACTGTCCAAGCTGTGCCACATCCAGAGGCAGAACAGTAAAGCGCCGCATGTACTTTTTCTCCTTGAGGAGCTTGTACTTGGCCAGAGAATATGCTGTCTTCTGGTCAATCGCCGTATGAGAGAGCATAAGCTTGGCGATCAACTCTTTGCCTGCCGAAGCACCCTCCTTCTTCAGCTGGTCGATCTCAGCCATTGTGAGCGTCTGGCGAGCAGATTCGTCAATGACCTCGCGGTTCGACCGTGCGACAACCTTGCCGCTCTCGTCGACAAGCGTGAGCTCCTCTCCATTTGCCGGCTCAATGACGTCGTCTCCTTCGGCGGACTCGGTAGCGCTCACATCGGCGAGCTTGTCGGCATTGAGTTCTGTGCCAGGAACGACTCGTAATCGGGGAAAGCTTTCACCTTCTCGCTTATCTTGAATCTCGTAGGTGAGATGGTAGGGCCGCTCGATTATGAGATTGCTCGGAAACGAGCCATATTTGCCTAGAGAAATGGTTCTGGAATGCTGTCAGTCGCACACCACCAAGAGCTGCGAAGGAAAGATAGAGAATAGAGACTGACGTATTGGGAACAACCTGAAGGACACGCGTCACTTCGCTCGGTAATCTGATGGCAACCCATCCATTGGGCTGCACTGTATTCCTCGACATTTCGGCAAGGCTGAAGCGGAAACTGCAAATGTTGCGGAAACTTGGATCATGGCAGAAAAAAAAAAATAATTAAAGCGCCGGACTTGATCTCGGTGAGCCCCGCGCCCCACCGTGGCCCGACTCACCGCGGTGGGTCATGTCGGAAGTCTGGATACCAATTCACAACACCCACTCGGTGATGGAGATTTCAGTGAATAAATACGCCTGTGCCTGTTTGACTATATTGAATTGGGCATCGCATCCTGATTATTGGCAGCCCTGGAGCTGTATCAAAGCAGAACGACGTCTTTTTTTTTTTTTTTTTCCAACGGGTCATGAACTACATAATTAGAGGACACATCGTCCAGCTAAACGGTATTATTCCATTGTCAATATAGTCAGAGGGATAAAAAAACAAGTAGAAAAATGAGTCGCCTCTTCATAGTTGGTAACATTCCATCTTAATTCTCACAAATCCAAACATATTGCAGCAAACTGTCGCAAACGAAAAACAACTCATTGCCTATTAAGCTTACCCAAGAACTTGCAGACGGTTCCATTGGACCAGCCAGGTCTCATGATTTCCGTTCATAGATCTCTACCCTATATCTACTGCTAAGCAGTATGTAGATAGAGTTTCAAATATCTTGTATTTTAAAAGCTTTCGTCTGCCATTCTGTGTCCCCAATTGAAGAGAACACCGCATGGGGGCTGCATATACAACCTCTTAGCTATCTAGGTACGCACTTACTCAATACTAGATGCTCTAGAAAGGCAATGGCAGCATATGGTAGAAACAGGTAGCGAGAGTAGCGGATAGTTGAAAATTCAGGTGTGCAAGAGGAGCTTCCTCTGCATCTCGCCATGACATTCATCACTGTATTCGCGAAGCGTTGATGGACAAGTTGGGTTGCTGGGTTCCCACTTTCTATTTTTACTATCTCCTCTTTCATATTGTGTGGCAAGCATATTGAGTAATCATTTTTTGACAGGCCTAAAAATATTCAGATCGTATAGCCTTTCGTTCGTCGTCCGCTGTTGGGCACTATCGTATCGCAAAGCAAAGGTTTAGGTTCGCGTGATCGTTTCTCAGTCATGAAAATGATGAGACGAGAGCTCAGCTTCAGGACCTTATTGTAAAACTATCACTTAAAGCTGCCGATATTAGAATTTCAGAGTGTCAAATACTTCAGCCTTCAACGTTTTGGGGGATGTGAGTGGAAATAGCAACGCCGCATCGCATGATGTCTCATCGATGATGGGAAATGATGGGAGCGCCATTCTTTTGGTGGTAGATGTTCCAACCTTGGAGTATTACAGAAGGAAAACCACTCCACCGTAATCGAAACTCGATTGAGAGCTTTTTTTTTTTTTTTTGTGTATTGTCCCCTTATTCTCTCGGCTGTGCCATGGAAAAGTGAGCGAACTCTTAGACGCTTTCAGCCGAATGCGATACCAACAGCCTGATCAACTGTCATCATTTGTTTTCCCAACTCGTAAGCGCCAGTGGAAGAACGATGAGGCAATAGCTAGATCAGATGGTCAAGTTAGTCAATTCGAGATGTAAATCTCCCGCCGGTATCCAACGTGGTTCATTCGCGTTGAGAGAAGCTGGCAAACTTTTGTCAAGGACACCATGCTCGACCAGAATATCCAGTAGCTTAGCTTGCAAATAGTTGATAAAGCCATGGTATACATCTGAAGAATCTAGCCATGGAGTCAAGGTTATTCGACGACGCCTAATTCTACTTCATGGTCAACTCAGTCTACCAGAAGAGTTTCTAGCAGCGTAAGAGAGTGGATGCGTAGTATGTAAGAATCACGGAGGCTTAAAGAAAATATGAAGCATCGTTGGATTGATTCCCCCTAAAGTTGTATTTATCCGACGAGATAATTCGCGTATTAATTGGTCTGATGACATGCTGTCACACAGAGACTTGTCGTCCGCTATTCGGTGAAGCCAAATGGAGGTTCAGGAGATTGGAATCAACATCTTAGTATTCAATAAAATATTGTGGAGGAAATTAGAGCGTCGGAATACGATACACGGCACCTATGTTAGAGCGAAATAGGGCTCGATGACTAACAGGCAGCAACAATAATGCCAAGCCCAGAGTCTCGACCCAAGATAGCCGACGGGAGAATGAGAAGCGGCAGCTAGATGCACCACGCGATCATATCATCCGATCTCAAGATATCTAGCGTTTGCGCCTCATTCTTGAGCTGTTCAGCTATACGCAGAGTAACCCATCCCTGGGGATCCGGAATGCAGTAGAACGATGCGATAGTCGCTCTCAACATGTGGGCGAGGCTGAATGAAGCTTCTCCTTTTGGCTATGATTGGAGCAAATATTGGTGCAGTCCACTTCGCACATGTGATCTAGTCAAGCATCAATGGTCGACCGCCGCGTGTCGATTACGTTGAAGAGCCAAGACCGTCCATTAATAGCATCTCGATTCTTGATATCTAAAAGCGCCACGCCTTGCGGCAGCTTGACGCAGGGCTTCACCAATTTAGCCAGTAGTCCGGGGCCCCGGAGCCGTGACCTGCTTCTGGGGCTGAAAAAGCTGGAGCTGCTGGAGCTGGAGTTGGAGATCTGGGGAAGTGAAACTTGAAGCCGACGGGAGCTTTCTTAGGTGGGTGGTGTAGAGACGTCAAGTCCGGCCGCAGATTAAATAGCCGAAAAGCCTCTGACGGAGGGCCAACAAACAGCCGTAAAGGAGAAGACGGCGTGCTAAAGAATGATGACAGGCACTCGCTCGTAAAGGACAGTACAGACATGGGTTAGGTATAGGAGTAGTACTAACGACTCAGGTGGTAGGGGAGGAGAGAGGAGACAAGGTGAGAATGTGGTTTCACGTGATGAGTCTGGGGGTGTATTGCAGCCTCAGGCACAGAGCATCTCTACAGCTCCTATCCAAGCATCATGACTCTTTATCCTGCCTCATAAATGATACCTGCTTGTCTCTACAGCTAATATGCACAATCCTTTGAAACAAGCCGGCAGAGAGAATTTATTATCTCGCTAACGCCTCCGCACGCCGCTATGCTTAACCGGCACATGCTTCTGAGCCAATCCACAGCCCCCGCGAGGACATCGGGG